CATGTAGGCAAAAGTTCTATCTAGAAAACTGGAATGTATTTACTTAATCAATATGCTTATATTTTTATTGAATGTATCATTGAACAGTATCTTGATAATCACTCTAAAAATGTAAAACCCGAACTTGGTGAGCAGGTAACAGTCTGCTGTAGGGAGGAGAAAGATGGAGGATTTTGGCTTCTCTTTAAATATACAATAAAGAATTGCCAATTGTATGGACTTAAGAGAGCAGCTCTAATATTGTCAAGCAAATTATCTACACATACAATTTACTATTATTAAAATTTTGGTCTCCAATGTAAAACTTTCCTCTAAGCCTAACTCACTGCCAACAATAAAACATTAAGAGAAAAAAAAAGTGGTTAGCCGTCTTGAAAAAAAATAATTAAACACATATATCTGAAATAAAATTCAAAGTGTCCTTGTATTTAAAAATTTTTAAAAACCCTCATTTTAAAATCTGAGTTTAAGATAATTTGTTTTGAACTAATGTATGGAGACAGGCTGGAAGGCCACTGACCAGAAAGGATGCTCACATGACTGTGTATGGTACTTAGAAAGGAACTGATGGTGATGGAGGACAGACGGACAGCCTTTAATGCCAGCTCGAGGGGCTCTGATGCCTTCCTCTGGCCTTCAGGGGCAAATGTACTCACATACGCAAACTTGTATACGTTCTCGTAATTATAAAGAAAAACAAATCTTAAAAAAGAGATGAGCTGACTTTATATGGTAGGTTCCTCCAATAGTAGGAATTTACAAATTAAGAGTAATAATAAACCTGTCAGGCTGTATTTCCTTCTCCAAGTACAGAATTAACCCATAAATTACAGAATCACAGTAAGTATCATGCCAAGAATCTCATTTCCACCCTTCAAAGAACTGCTGGCTTCAATTTAAAGTGATTACTAAAGTCACTGCTTTGTGGGAAACGGAAACAAAGTCGAAGAAAATAAGAAACTCATTTCATTTAAAAATGAAAACAAAACTACAGCTACAGTTTGCTATTGGATGACAAAAATTCTGATCTGTTGTCACGTCTGTGTATCCTAACCCTTCACAGTATGGGCGACATAGGAATGCATTACCATTACTTTCAGCAGAAAATCTCACTACAAAACACAAATCCAAATACTAAAAGGTGGTAAAAAGGAGAAAACCTCCAATACAGTTAAGCCTGCATTCACAGAATCAGCGTTAGCATCTGTAAGTAATTCTCAATGTCATTCTTAACTCCACTTGGTAGGGAAACTGAGGCCCACCCAACAGCCTGTTCTGAGTTGGGATGAAAACTAGTAGCCCTGCATCCTTCTGAAGGGACGGAAAAGTGGCCGACGAGGCAAGAAGGGCCACTGCCTGCCAAGGTGTCTGCCAACTGGGTCACTGTCTTAACTTCCTTCTCTATGTTTTCTCTAGAGAGAGTAAAGAAGGGCAAGGGCGGGGCAGAGAGAAAAAAAAGAGTGTCTTTCTTATCCAAGTGCACCTCCCCCATCTAAATAGGGACCTCGATTAAAGGAAAGAAGATTCCGACAGAGTTCTAAGACCATGGTGACTTATTTAGAATTGGGTGAAAACTTCCCAGCGAACTACATAAGTATTTGCTGTACAATACTTTTGATTCTTCATCAATGAGGGACTTCTCTCAACCTGACGGACTGGACTGCTAGTCTTAAAGTAGCCTAGATGTGGAAGGCCAGCCAACCATGAACCCACTACGTGCAAACCTGAGGACAGGAGGGCCAAACTGACTCAGACACGACAAAGGGAGCTCAGCTGTGTAAATGGCTTCATGGGCCCAAGACTTAACTAGACTCAGATTCTTGGCTGACACAAAGACTCTATCCCAAATGATTTAGGAGCCCGCCGAGCACCGTCCTCAAGGCTAAGGTCAGAGATAGCTGCCAATCTGACCAGGAGCCTCACACAGGGTACTACTGTTGCCTGATACTGTCTACAGTTCTGAATGCCGCCTACCAAAGACACCATGTGTGCACAAGAGCCAGCCGGGAACCACTTACGGTAAGGAGTGGGCTTACCACGCCAGGGGATGACACTTTCACCCACACCTTCTACTATTTATCTAGTGAGCTGACATGCTGCCTCATAACACCCCACATGGGCACATTTCCTGGATAACTAATAGAGCACCGCCTAGTACCAAGGACCAATTGCTCAACTGTACATACATACTTCACAAACATGATCAACTCTGGAGCAAGTATCTGGGATGGTACTGGTGGAGATATCCTTAAAAAAATGGAATAAATTTTGAAAGTCATTTATCAACTGACTTTGCATGCAATCATTTAACTGAATCTGCCCAGCTCTGGCATCTGCCCCTATGTACCTGATAAACCGTACAAACTGTGCCAACTTTAGGCTGTAGTTCCAAAGGGTGATTCTATCACAAAACGGAACCAACACAGTCTTAGAGAACAGATAAACCTCACATTATCTCTTTGAATGAAACATTCCCTCATGCACTTGTGAGATGAAAACATTCTGTTTTGAGCAAGCAGGAAGACTGGCTTAATTACTTTCCAATTGAGGATTTCTGGTTTTCCACTCAAGCGTGCCTTCCTTACTTAATATCCTCAGTAAAGAGGTTTAGTTCCTCATGTAATCTTTTCCTGGTAGTAGTGGCCTAAGGTAAGCCTTGTAACCAGTGGAAATTAGGATATTCTCTCTCTCTCTCTCTCTCTCTCTCTCTCATATACACACACACACACTCTCACACACAGTCTCTCTCATACACACTCACTCTTTCACACACTGTCTCACACACACTCTGTGATTTCACACACACTCCCTCTCTCTCACACTCTCTCTCACACACACACATACTCTCTCTCTCACACACACACACACTCTCACACACACTCTGTCTCACACACACTCTGTCTCACACACTCTCTGTCTCTCACACACTCTCTCTTACACAAACACACTCTTTCTCACATACACACATTCTTCCTCTCTCTCTCTCTCTCTCTCTCTCTCTCTCTCTCTCTCTCACACACACACACACACACACCCTTGAAAATCTCTTACAACTTTAAAAATAGCAAGGTATAACCAACTGGGTCACATGATTCCAACATGTGTCACCCCCTTTTCCTCACCCTTCTTGGGAATTAAGAGTTGACTAGCACTATTACAAGCACCATGATGGGGCATACTGAGAAACTGTGATATTCTGTTTTTCTATGGTAATTTAATTTCCTCTTCTCACTTAGTAAGGGTATTCACATCTCATTTTGTTCCAGGGTAACCTAAGAGACAAGAATGAGCCCTCCTAACTCACCGGAGCCTTCCAACACACACACAGTAACCCATCATCTGCCATTGGCTTGAGAGTTCCGATTCACAGTGGGGAACTCTTACTAGCCCACGGTAGAATCATATTATCAGAAGAATTGTGTTTTTACAAATATCTAAAGCCAAGAGTGTTTATGGGATATCCAAAGACACACAAACAACACAGATGCACAGAGTAGCGGAGCTGAAAGCAGACCTGGTGACAAAGACATTTCAGAAGTAAATAAAACGAGATGTCGTTTCTCAGATATGGCACTGGTAACCTTCTTATCATTGACGCAGCTTGATATAAGGCCACTTTAAAAACAATGTGCCTTTTCTCAAATAATACGGGAATTCTTCTACTAACCTCCCCTAAGCCAAAATAAGAGGAAGAAGTAATGGAAAGTTGGGGGCTAGGAAGAGAGGGATGCAGTACACTTTGAAACATGATACACAAGCTCAGAGTCTCTCCTGAAAGTTTTGTTTTTTAACCACTTGTTTTCATTTTTTTAAAGTTGCTTTATCCCTGTATCATTAGGAAACACAGAAGTCATAAGAAATGTAATTTCTACTTATCTCTCTATACCATGATGAGGGACTTTTTTTTTTTTAAAGACAAGTTTTCTCTGTAACTTTGGATCCTGTCCTGGAACTAGTTCTTGCAGACCAGGCTGGCCTCAAACTCACAGAGATCCTCCTGCCTCTGCCTCCAGAGTGCTGGAATTAAAGGCACGTACCACCACCACCCAGAAAGGGACATCTTAATTTGTGTGACTGTTACCTAAATCCTGAAGTCGTTTTATGTTAAGTTAAATATGGAAGTCTCTAAAACCCCCAAGCACCTTCCTGAGGATGCCTTTAGGGCTGAGCCTGGGATGGGGGAGGAGGGTAGGGAGGGTAAACTGTATAATTAGTTGGGCTACAAAGACTTGCAAACTGGGCCTAGAGTAGACGGAAGGACAAAATGAAAACATAAGTTAGCCAACTACAAAGTCACATGCATTGGTATCACCAACAATAACAATAGCAATCATTGTATTTTTAATGAATATTAGTTTGACTCATATCTTAAAATGCAGCCACCAGAAATGAAAGCCAACAATTAATATGCCATCAGAATTTTTGCCAAACAGCCCAGGCTAAGGAGCCCATGAGTTCTGATCTGCTGTTCTTAGCTACTCTATGGATCTGGTCCTAGGCCACTCGCTGTCTCAGCAATTTCTGCTGAGAGAATTTATGATTCTCTTTTTTAATTAATTTATTTATTATATATACACTTTCCAGGAGACAGTGCCCATTACAGATGATTGTGAGCCACCATGTGGTTGCTGGGAATTGAACTCAGGACCTCTGGAAGAGCAGCCAGTGCTCTTAACCTCTGAGCCATCTCTCCAACCCTCAGAATTTCTGATTCTTATTAACTCTCTGATAGCCCTTTTCTTTCAAATCTGAAATTTTACATTTCAAAACAAATGATTCCCCCTTCTCCTTAGAAGCGAACACACATATAAAACCACGCTAATTTCATTGCAAGAGAACGATTTCCGTTCAAAATGTGTGTCACTTAGTCAGGATTATTTCCTGAAACTTTAAAAGGGGGGGGGGATGTGAAACAAAAACAAGATGTTTATTCAACAGTTCAAACAGCTATATTGACGTTTTGATCAAAACGTGGCCATTTGAACTAAGTCTGGTGTTACCTCGGGAACGCCAAGTTTTCTGCAAGCTTCCAGGAAGTTTTCCACATTCCTCCTGCACTTGGCCATGCTGAGTTTGGGCTAGAAATGCAAACATACAAAAACAACAGTGTTAAGATAAAAAGCAATCCAGAAACATCCATCTAGAGGCAAAAAAAAAAAAACTTACTAGTGTGGGTCATATTCTTGGACTGTAAATGTACTCAGCAGAGAGAGGTTTAGAGAGACACAAGTATGCAATGCTGATGCGCTGACATGGATGTATGCCAGCTGCTCACACATCTAAGTATCTGTGTATGTGCACACAAAAAGCTCACATCATACAGTTGGATAGCCCATTTTAGTTCACCTAAAAATATACCGCAAACATCATCTTTCCCCAACAACAAATGTATTTCCATACTAAAGGTTAAAAATCCATGAGGCTGTCTCTTCACCAAACAAACAACCAAACAAAAAGTTGAATTAGAAAATTCATTTAAAGGCAAATAGCATTAAAAAATGGCAGATTTAACCCAAAGCTTCACTGCTGCACTGACCTTCACTGCAGTGACGCGGGAAGCACAGATGGATTCATACAGGAAAAAAAAATGATGATAAAATTTTAAACACTTCTTAACATTTTTTTAAAAAATATTCCGCTATTAATTTCCTTAAAAAGGAAACCAAAAAGTATGGCTGAAACAACTGGGCTGAGAGGCTAAACAAACACTGTCCCTCGTGGCAGGAGAGGAAGTCCTCTTACAAGTGCCCCAGACAGACACAGGACAGCTGTGCACAGCCACACACAGACAGGAGGAGCAGAGAGATCACAGGGAATAGAGAAGAAGAGATTCTAGAGGAAGTGAGGCTCCAGAAGCATCCTGTGGCCCCATAGGTCCACCGCCGTCATCCTGTACTCCTGGTTCAGGGACAGTTCTATGGTGGTGGTTAAAGGTTCAACCTCACCACTGGTAATCAAAACTCCCTTTAATCATACCAACTGGGAGGCCAATGTTTTGCCTACAGCCTGGAAAAACTGAACAAACTAATTTTTCTCCTCTTGAATCAATATTCACTATGTAGAGGATGGCGATTACTCTATCCGAACTACCTTCCCTGAGCTTGGCATTACCAAACCATACACCATGGAGCTCATGAAACGAAAGACCAGAACGCTTAATGCTTGCAGTAGCATGGTCAGGACAGGCACCCTCGGCATTGCTGATGGTGCAGGCACAACCGTATTGGTTGTCTACCCTACCCAGGCTGCATTTGGTGCTGAAGGCACAACAGTGGACCAAAAGGACACAAACCTTAGGCCACACAGCTCCAGCATAGCTGGAGACAACAGCCAAAAGAAGGGGTAGGGTGACATGGGGGAGTTATTACGGGTGATGGGTTTGCAGTGAGGGGAACACAAAGGAACCACATTCTTCTGTGTCAGAGCAGGAACTGTGGTGGGCACTAGGGGTCCAGGTTCTACGGCTACAGCAGGGCTGGGTCCATCCAAAACTGCTTGAGGGGCTGGCCAAGAAGGCTTAGTAGGTAAAGGCACCTGCAGCCAAACCTAAAGACCTGAGTTCGATTCCAGGACTCGCAGTAGAAGACGCTAACTCACTCGTATAAGTTATCCCATGATCTCTACATAACCACTGTGGCAAGGACATGTCTACACACATGCATGCACACGCACACATGTACACACACATACACATCCTAACTTTAAAAATAAAAATACTTTGAGTAGACCACAGGAGAATTTCTGGTAAGTGGGCATTTAGAAGTGAGCTGTAACAAACAGACTCCTGCAGCAGACAGTAAGAAGGGTGATCAGGAAGGATCTGGTGCAGACAATTTAGGCTCCTATAGATTTTAAAAATATATAGTGTATATAAAATCATAATTCAAAACAAATGTATAGAGCATGTTGGTAAAGACAGAAGAACACTGTTTTCTGCTATTTTCTCCTACCAACCACTGTTTCCTATGTGTTTTCAATTTAAAAAATTATTAAAATGAAAAGATCTCTTTAAAAGTATGGTGTTTTTCCTGAAACATAAATAAAAGTGTAAGGGTTCATGATTTTTAATGTCTCCTGACACCTAGCAAAGGTGACAGTGCACATTCTGCTGGGAAGCCAGAGAATCCAGTGTGTCTCAAAAAACTGACAGTTGGGCACACAACTCACACAATGTCATGGAGAACCGGCTTAGTGGCTAAGAGAGGACCCAAGTGCAGTTCCTAGCACTCACCCCTGCCAACTCCCAGCTCCAGGGGATCCAATGCCTAAGGAGACCAGAAGGGGGCGTTGGATCCTGCGGAGCTGGCTGAGGAAAAAAAAAAGTGGCCACATTTTTGAAAAGGAAAAGGCAGAGTCAACTTTATAGAAAACCAACTGACAGCTGAAATGAGACAACCAGCCGCTCTCTGCCACCAGGACAAAACAGAGCAGAAGAAAAGCTGTCCTAGTGAGAGCGCTCTGAAGCGGAGGGCAGGGCTTTCAAACAAGTGGTCACCTGACACACTGATTACATGGTCGAAATTGTACCTTGAGACGAGTGGCTCAGCTATACATAAACATGGACGGTGGCAGTGGCTCATTTACGTGACTTGTCTCTCCAGTACCTCACATCATCCTCTCAGGAGCAGGTCTATTTCAGAGAGGGGTGTATCAAGCTAAACTCAGGACACAACCTGCTCAGAGCTTTCAGACACAGATCTGGAATCCATCGTTGCCTTTTCGCCCCTAAGCTCCTCAACTTTCCCCCATACACCCAATCTGTTGACATAAACTCCTTCTGCTCTTATCTGCATAACCCTATGTGGACTTCACAGATAATCCTATCCCTAATTTGTCTTGCAGGCAGGATCACAAGCTGCCCCTGAAGCTTTCTCCCACCTGTCCCAGGTGCTGTGACATCTAGGACAAGGGTCAGGGCTAGGATGCAACTCAGTGGGAAAGCGCCTGCTTGGCAGACAGAGGCCCTGGGTCTGATCCCTGGCCAAGGAAGGAGAGGAAGGAAGATGGGAAGGGACGAGAAAAAGCGTATTAGTGGAGCCGGGATTGGTGGGTGATTCAGGATGCTTCCGTGTTCACGCATCTTCATAAGCTACTGCAAGATCCCCAGTGACGCACAGAAAAGAGATTCCAATCAAGCACTGCGGAGGCTGAGGCAAGAGAGCTCGGCTTGGGCTAGTTGGTGAATTGCTAGTGAAGCCCTACTGAGAAAAAAGCCTGAGAGAGACCTCTTAGCCTTCTACCAGACAGCCTTCTGAAGAGGTACCCCGCTGTTTAAATATCCTTTTGTGAGGGTCAAATCTCTGTGCTCTATGGCCTTTAAACCAGCATATCGATCCCTAACTTCTTTAGACTCCACACCTGAGGCAGCTATTTTCTGTCTTTCTTACACGTGTTTTTTAACAGCCTCCCTTTACTGAAGGTGCTACTTCCTCCAACTCCTTGCTTCACACCGTTCTTCTGGTTGTATGGGGCCCAATGGAAGGGTTCAGGGCAGACTCCCGGAGACCCCACTGGCATCTTTAACCAACAACTCCATGCAAAGAGAGTCTGTCTAATGGCAGTTTCCCTCTCTCTGGCCTTACTTACAACTGCAGGTGAGGGGACATGGATGCTGGCGACAGACCGCGGGCGGATGTGGTTGGCCAGGTGGCAGAGAACGACACCGTCCATGAGTGCGGCCCCGAGGTCTTCATGGAGGGTCACTTTCAACCTCATTTCGATGCTCTGGGGGGTGGAAAGCAGAAAGAGCCAGTTGCTATGGGCGCCAAAGCAAGTTCAGTGTTAAACACAGCTGGTTGTATGAACTGGAGCACTATTCTCAATGGGAAGGGTAAGAATTCTGGAGATAGGGAGGCGGCTCTGTCAGCGAAGGGTTTGCAAGGACCCAAGCCTGATACCAGAATCCAGAGAGTCTATGCCTGTAATTCCAGCAATAGGGAAGTGAAGTCAGGAGGGTCCCTGAGGTTACCTAGCCAGCCAGCCTAGTCAGCAAGGTTCAGGTCAGTGAGAGAGAGAGAGAGACCCTGACTCAGACACAAAAATGTAGACGGCAGCTGAGGTCATCTCCTGGCCACCACACATACATGCACATTCATACACACATGCACGAGCACACACACAGACACACACACACAGACACACACACACACACATACTCACATGCACATACATACATACATACACACCCCAGGCACAGAGAGAATGTCTGGAAAACACTCATGTTAAATATTTTCAAGCATTTTTTAAAATCCTTTATATAAAGACAGATTCAGTTGTCCTGATATGTTTTAATTAAAACTGCAGAAATAAGAAAATTCTTTGGTAGTTTGTTTCTGAGACAGAGGCACATCTAGCCCAGGCTAGCATCAAACTCTCTGTGTAGCCGAGGACCTTGAGCTCCTAGTCCTCCTGCTTCCACATCCTCAGGACTGGAATTGCACACTTGGAATCACTTAAGTTCAGTATGTTCCTAGTTTTGGTTATGAGACTACAAAAACAGAATGAATGGACTGATAAAGACCAAATACGGTTAGCTCATTGGAGTTGACACGGGGTGTGAAGGGGATGAAGAAAAGCATTTTAGTCAAGAAATCAATTAATTACCCTTACTCTAAATATTAAACTTGAAGGGCTGAAGAAATGGTTTAGCAGCTAGGAGCACATACTTATAGAGCTATATTATTTGTATTTTAATAAATAAAGCTTGTCCGAAGATCAAAATACAAAACAGCTACACTAGTTAGCCACAGAGGCCAGGCAGTGGCGGTGCATGCCTTTAATCCCAGCACTAGAGAGGAGTATAAAGTGGGAAGAGACAGAAACTCACTCTCTTGCAATCTGAAGATTTCATATAAGGTAAGAGGTCTCTAGTGGCTTGGCTGCTTTGCTTCTCTGAACCCCAATATCTGTCTCTGGGTTTTGATTACTCTTGCTATACCTACTGCTCTTTCGGAAGACCTGAGTTCAGTTCCCACCACCCATGTCAAGCTGCTCACGACTGCCTATAACTCCAGCTCTGGGGGATTCCACACCCTCTTCTGGTCTCTGCAGGTACTGCACTCATACACATGCCCACACTCATACATAGACATAGGCACATAATTTAAAGTAAATAAATTAGATTTGAAATTTGAAACAATTCAGGGGGAGTTAGGAAGCAAGACTGGGAGATTTCATATGCTATTTGCTGAATGTTCCCAATATCAACAACAACTTGGAAAACAACCGTGGTGTTGTGTGTCAAGACACACAAGGCTCTTTCAAAAGGCGCCCAGGGGATGGGTGTCCCCTCTTGAACTCTTTGACATGTCACTCCTTCATAGGCTCTCAGTCCATCTGTTTTCAGTTTGCTTTCTCTCCAGGCCTTAAAGTCACGTCTATCATCCTGTCCTTCCGGCTCATCCCGCAGCATCTCCTCTCTGCTGTGGCTTCTCCACACCAGGTTTCTTCATTTTGGACAATGTATTTTTTCAGTTCCGTACATCCATTTGGTTCTCCTTTGCTGAGATGTCCTGGTTCCCTGGTGTACCACTCTATGGCTTCTTCTCCTGGGACTATGCCAGTCATGACTCAGTGAGGTCTCTCTAGTGCGGTTGCTTGAAAATCTGTTCCACAGTTTGAGGTATTCTTTTCACCCTTGCAGTTCTGGGGACCAAAGTGGGGTCTTCCATGAAGACAAGTGAATCTGACCCCACCACTCTGCCAATAAAGGACATCTCTAGTTTCTCTCGGGTAATCTTGACCACCGTGCCAGATCAGAGCCATCATCTGTGGGCTGTCTTCTCACAGGGCTTATGATCCTCCCAAACCCTTGGTTTGCGGACTGATTTTTCGGGTGAAATCCAGGCACTTTTTGCATTGTGTTGTGAGGTTCCAGTTTACTTAAAACTTGGATTTAGACAGATCTGCTTAAGGATACTAGCCTGATACAAAAAGAAAGACTCCCACCATGTTATGGCAAGACTAATGTAGAGGTCTAGTTTTCCACTTGGCCTCAGGAAGCAGGCAGGATGGTAGTGGTCGTCCTCTGGCAAGGTTCTAGAGGAAAGACCCAGGCTCCACGCAGCTCTCCCCTGACTCGGTGAGAGCAGACAGACTCCTTACCAGTGAGGGTGAATTTCTAGTTTCTACCTTGGCTTCTCTGACACCACTCCAACGGGATGGTCTCTACTTGGGCTTTGCCAGCAGGGCCCGAGTGGACTAGCACCTTTTCTCTGATGCCCAGAGAGAGTAGAACACCAATAGTCTGAAAGTTCTCTGTCTTGCTAGACTACTCACTCCCCAGTTGTCTGGGTAGAGGACACAAGCTTTCAATGTGTGTGCATTAGTATCTCTGGCTCCAGAGAGACGTGAGGTGAGACAAAAACCCACGGAGCTTAAGGCCATGTTATTCTTCAAGTTTCACGCCTGGCCCTGCAGGGCACTTAGCTTGTGCAGGTGTGCTTACTGGAAAGATGGGGAAGGGTGGGACTAGTCTACCCTTTAGCAAGAAACCAACTTTAAACCCTGAGCAAAAACTGCTGCTAAGGCAGAAGCTCTTTGGAACAGAGTAATAGCTATGAAGAGATGGCTAATTTAGTGACTTACAATGAGTGAAAATTGGAAGGAGATCACGAAGCTGGACATTCAGAACAGATCTATGTGTAGGGACTGTGTGTGTGCATGTTATGTGTATGTGTGCATGTGTGTGGTTTATGTATACGTATAGTTGTGTGCAGGTGCGTGGGGTGTGTACATATATGTATGTGTGTGTACATGTGTGTGGTGGATGTGTATATGTATGCGTGTATGTGCATAGGTACCGTGTGTGTGTGTGTGTGTGTGTGTGTGTGTGTGTGTGTGTGTTGCGCATGTATGGGTATGCATGGGTGTGCATGTAAGAAGATCAGTTGTCAGTCTCGGGGTTCTTCCTCACTCTGCTTTATTTTTGGAAACAGGAATGCTTACTTTTACCTGGATCTCACCAACTAACCCCAGGGATTCACTTGTCCATGCCTTCCCATGGCTGGTGTAGCTGTTTGTATGAGAGCAGACCCCATGCTTGGTTCCCAGTTGGTGGAACTCTTTGGAAAGGCTTGAGGAGGTGTGTCCTGTTGGAGGAGGTGTGTCACTGCGAGGAGGACTTTTGTCAGAGAAAGGAGAGGTTTCAACATAAAATCTGCAGCAGTCTCTCAGAAGAAGCCTGCTTGCCCTCTGTGGCCCTCACCGTAATAGATCTGATTGAATGAGTAACTTACAGGCCATCTTCCACAGCTGACACCAGCTTCTTCCTTGGTGACAGAACTGTTAGTGTCTTAAACAAACGTATCATGTTCCTATGCAGACACAAAGACCTTCGGAGTGCCCATGAGGTTCCACAGCACCGTGAACAAACACACATTCCCAGCCCCCACCAGTATGAAGCTGAAAGTCTTGGACGGCATTCAGAAAAACCTTCACCTTCAACGGTAATTCAAATGGTTTGCTTATTACACAGTGGATTTTCAAAGCTCTGACTGGTTTGGAATACAAACTTCAGAATACTATATACAGGTCTTTAAACTAGTGAAATATTACTACTAGGCAAATAAACGGCAGGCATTCTTTCACCAGAACGCACTGTGGGTCTTCAGTATAAGCAGAAACTGAAACTCAAGGCTAAGTGACTCACGCAGTAACAAACAGTCCAGGAGGGACTGACCTAGCTGGATCTGTAACTGGGATGTGTGCAATGCTTCAGGAAGGTGTTTGCTGCACACAGAATGCTGCCGGGACTGTGAGCATCACACTCAGTCACGTGCCACCCCCAGTACCTCGCGGAGCTGCTCCACCCTCGGTACCTCGCGGAGCTGCTCCACACCCAGTACCTCGCGGAGCTGCTCCACCCCCAGTACCTCGCGGAGCTGCTCCACCCCCCAGTACCTCGCGGAGCTGCTCCACCCCCCAGTACCTCGCGGAGCTGCTCCACCAGCTCCTTTTCTTCTCTCATCTGCTCCATCTTCCTCCGAATCGTAAACTGTGGGTCTATGGACTCCAGGTTTCTCTGAGGTCTTAGAAACACTGCAACAGAGATGGGGGGAAAAGATCAATCCGAGTTGCTACACAGGGCTAGTCCTAGTACAGCTAAATAAATTATTTATTTATCCCAAAGTATTGATCATTCACAGAAGCAAGGAAATTCCAGGATCACAGCAAAGGTTTGATGTGAGTAATCAAAGGGAAATTATCCAGGTTGTGTGGACTGCGAAGCTGTCTTGCGGTGACTGACTGAATAAACTGGAGGGGGGGGGGATGGGTCTCATGGGGGTGGGGAGAGAGCACCCACACCTCTCTCACTTCTCCTGTTTTCCTCCATTCTAACTGATATTCTAATCATACGCTTCATCTTTCTTTAAATCTAAGTAATTTAGATAAAGAAAGAAGGTACTAGAATTGTTTTACGTGTTAAAAATAGGTGTGGAAAACTGTTAGCTTCACATTTAATAAGCCTCTATCAAGAACTAGGTAATGACATGAGGGACAACATATTAGAGAATGGAATGGAAAAATTCTTCTGTCTGTCTCTCACCTAGGTGTTCAAAGAGCCAGCTCTTTACAGATGTGCTCAGATTAATGTTGCAAAGACTGGCGGAACGACAGGGGACTTCATCAACGCTGGCTCAGGGGTCTTGGACTTTCTACCAGAGCAGAGGCTGAAAACAGTGCTTGCTCTGGAGCAGTTCAGAAAATCCATACTCTCGGGGCTAGAAAGACAGCTAAGCAGTTAAGAGCACTGTCTGTTCCTCCAGAGGACCCAGGTTCAACCCCAGCCTCCACATGGTGGCTCACAATTGTCTGTGACTCCAGTTCCAGACGATCTGAAGCCCTCTTCTGGCCTCTGAGGGCATCAGAGATGTAGATGGTAAACAGACATACATGAAAGACAAAACAACCATGTACATAAAATAAAATAAAAAAATCTTTTTTAAAAGTTAACAACAAAAAAAAATATATAACTCTCCTGGGCTGAATGTGTAGCTTTTTAGCATATATGAAGTCCTGGGTTCAGTCCCTAGCATTGTATAGAACAGAATGAATGGACGATGGGGGAAAAACTCATAAAAATCAAAAGAACTAAACTACTAAACTTCTAGGTGATAACAACAGTTGAGATGATTAAAATACATTCCACATATGACTTTCCACCATCTCTGCACCTGTGGAGGAATATTGGGAACAGGACTTCTAAAATCCAAGTGGATTAGGAAGGCTGTGTTTGCGAGGCCATTTTTGCTGGCTACAAGGAAGCTTCAGGAACCAATGAGAGCACAGGTGTTCTAGAAATTGAAGGTGTGCATGCCAGGTGTGCAGTTCAGTTCAGCTGAAACTGAACTCTCCTTAGGAAAGAGATGGACTTAGGTGTACAGAGGAAAAGAACAACCTAGAGACTCCTGGAAGCAAACCGAACAAAACGAGAATAATCTGGGGAAAGATAACTCTGGCCCATGGAAACAGTGACCTGGTTCATGCCAAATTCCAAAGCAAGCTATTGGATTGAGTATGAAAGGCCAGTGGATATGAAATCTGTGTGATGCTGCATCTCTTCCAGGTTGAAGCTAATGGAAAGTACATAAATAAAAGTGGATTTGCTGCCTTATAAAAATATTCTACAGGTAAAGAATTTAGTAGCCAGGCATGGTGGCACATGCCTTTTATCCCAGCACGTGGAAGGAAGAGGCAGATGGCTCTCTGTGAGTTAGCGACCAGCTTGGTCTATATAGTGAGTCACATGCCAGCCAGAGCTAGACAGTGAGGTCCTGTCTCAAACAGGGTTCGGGAGGTGATTGTAGCAGGTTAATTAAGTTTTTCTTACTAGAGATTTTTTAGCCTGGAGACACAAAGCTGTTGGCGGTGGGATGGTCTGGTTCTCTCGGTGTGGACTTTTACATTAGGCTGGGAGGTGGTGGCAGCACTGACTCACTCAGGACAGTTTGGGCAGAGAATTCCCACGTCAGAAGTCACCACCGCCTAGCAAAAGACATGGACACCACAATCGCAGTAGCTCCAGCCGCTGTCCTTCAACAGCGCTGGATACAAGGAGTCGACGGCCATTCTGTCATTGCCTACAAGGTCACTTTAGAAATGACCTCAGCTCAATATACTTTAAAACTTAAATACAGCTGGCAAAGACAACACTTGTGGGGGGAAAACTGTGTGTTCTTGATGAACTTAAATATGGAGTGCTGTGAGACCATATCTCTCTGAATCCTCCAGTTCTCTTCCTACATGAGTTCAGAGATGCCAGAAGCAGCACTGAGATGCTTGGGTAGATGAGAAGTTTGACACATCTTTGATTTAGTTCTTGGAGAATAAGGCTGACCTAGTGTGTACAAGGCTTTCTGGACCAGCAGAATGGACCCTGCGCCCTGGAATTCCGAGGGAAGGAACTGAGAAGTCCCTGGTAAAAGAATGGGTGTCATAGGAGTCTCTGAAGTAAGACCAACTGGAAGTAAGGGAGGGAAGGACGAAGGGAGCGAGAGAGGAAGAGGAAGAAAGCCAGAGCTAGCAAATAAAGGGCAATGTGATCCAGTCGGTGGGGGCAGAGTTACAAAAGAAAGCGAGGGCAAGTTGGCAAATTAGAAGCAATGGAAGCAGAGACACGGGAAGAGAAATCCAGCGTAAACCCTAAAAGCCACTTCATGTGGCAGAGATGTCAACTGAATTTACCAGAAAAGTCAAGGAATGTGGACGGAGTTTGGTAATGCGCCCATATGTCACCAAGGGGCGCCTCGACCCCACTTCAATAGGCCTACTGTTTGTTTTGGAGGTCATTTCCCTTCTGCATTTATTCCTGGGCAAATCTTATCTAATCTGACCTGCTAGATATTTTCAATATGTTTTTATTGGATGATTCCATTCTGAATATGAAAATCTGAGGAAGTTGAGTGAACTGTGAACTCTGGTTTAACTGCACATGATCCAAGCATCTGTGCTGGCAGAGCTTGTGAGGGATACTGGGGTCATGCGATGAGGTCTGCCATTTAATTCCCTGACACGCCTGCTTAGTTTACATTCCTGGGCCTCTTCACGGCAAAACCTGCACACCGGAGTGTTCATTCTGTGAACAGCCAGCAATCAAAAATAGCATTACTTACAGTTTTAAACAAATGTTTCAAATATACATATATTACTGGACATGAGGAGTATATGTAGTGTATACAGTAAAATTATACAATTATTCTAAGTACTGTGGGCTATTTAAGAATTTAATAAACTTTTTTGGTTTGGGGGGTTTTGTTTTATTTTGTGTTTTGTTTGTTTTTCAAGATAGAATTTCCCAGTATTTATGGAGCCAGTCCTGGAACTCGCTCTTGTAGACCAGGCTGGCCTGGAATGAGATCCACCTGCCTCTGCCTCCAGAGTGCTGGGATTAAAGATGTGCGCCACCACCGCCTGACTGGAGAGAAAGTTCTAAACGCAGGCCTGTGGAGGGTGATGAGGTATGTGTATAAAGGATTTCACTGATCAGTCACTGGCCTCTTCACCTTCTCCCATAGTCGCTGCTTCCAGTGCACATCCAAAGACGTCTGTCTGTATCTCTTGGCACTCATCACTCTGTATTACTGCATACGAGATGCGGCTCCAGAAGAGTCGGTGGCATGCTCTAG